TTTTTTTTTCTAAAAACTTTTTTCAAAGATTCCCTAAGCCATTCACACTGGTTTAGGAGTAAACTTTGAGCCATATTTCTATGCCCGTGAAAAGTTTTTCCCCCTTGTGTTCCTTGTTTGTTTGTTTTTTTGCAAGCCTCCATTTTCGTAGCACCGGCCTCTGTTTCCCATCTCACTCGCTCTCAGGACGTAGTAGCACGTGGCAGCTGAGTTAATCCTCAGCCCCCTGCCTCCCATGTCTCCTGGGTTAAGTTGTTTATAGAGAATGTCCTTCAAAAGAACAGGCTTCCCCAGAACCATAGGTGTTCAACGACTCCCCACCACGAGCCTCTCCAGCTAACAATACCCAGGGTCCAAAGGCTGGAGAGAGATGAGCAGCAGCTCTCCCCCTTCCACCTGCTGTCACCGCACCCCACACCCTCTCCATCACCCCACTCTTTTCATTCTCCCTCAGCCCACAGCTCTTTGAACGTAATGGAGGTTGTCTCCCTGTGGTGTGTTGGTGGTGGGACCATAGACAGCCTTCGGTCCTTCCTGGTTGGCCGTTATATTGTTCTCCTATGTCTGTTCTAGCACTCGGGGATAAATAGTTCCAATGCAGAAGTGCTGGCTCTGTTCAATGTGACTGAGGCGGATGCTGGGGAATATATATGTAAGGTCTCCAATTATATAGGGCAGGCCAACCAGTCTGCCTGGCTCACTGTCCTGCCAAAACAGCAAGGTAACCATGTTTTCGTTTTTGTTTTCATTTTTTTTTTTTTTTAAAAGAAAGCTGGATATAGAAGCTGAAAAGACTTGGTGCTTTGGGAGCCTGCAGGCAGCTTCTAGGATAACCCCTGTGGCCTCGGTATATTCATAATAATCTTTCTTTGGTGATGCGGCTGGTATGGTGCCAGCAGCCATGGAAAAATGCCCACAATGTTCAAGGTGCTTGCTGTCATTTCTTCTGAAGAGTGCCCTCCACCCCTACCCAGTTTTCTAAGTCATCTCTTCTGGTTTATCTTGTCCGGGCTGCACGTTTCCCACCATGACTGCATATTAGCACCGTTTTATACACACACTGGCAGAATTGTTGGATTTGTAGCATTCAAATATCAGCAATATATGTCCTTCTACGCCAGATTTTTAGAGAAATATTGGCATGCTATTATTTGTCCAGGAAAGTCTCTTGGATAAATTCTTTGGTTCCATGGTGGATCCTACCCTAAATTTGAAGGTAGTGCATCTTACCCACTGAACGTACTACTGGACGCTGTCAAAGGCGGAAGGTGGACCTTCTTAGTTTGTCATGACTCATGTTCGTATATTTTTTTATTACAAAAGGAGAAAAACCACCACAACAGAAAGCCCAGTTTTTCTCTTGCCAAGATCATGATTTTAACACTTTGTAATGCAAGATGGTTTTGCAAAAATGAAATTAAGGATCTGGTAACCGAGACAACCTTCCCACCCTGGTTGGTTCCCACAGGGCCATGGGGACAAGAGAGGTGTCCACCTGGGATGGTTTACAGTGCTTTGTTTTCTTACACAACCATTTAGATAGAACCATCCTTTTCTCAAGCTGGGAGTCTGCAGCCAATAAGACCAGAAGCCAAATTAGCCTTTTGGGCACTGTGCCTTTGGAAAGCCACCCCCTCAATCCAAACCAAAGCAAAGGCCCAGCGAACAGACCTCTGTGGGTTGATTTTTCCATGTGTTTGATTGCATGCATGTCTAGGTGGTGAAGCCGGTGTGGTGACGGGCCTGCGGAGGTGAGCTGGCCGGTGTGCTCAGGGTCTTGGTTGTGGGCTTTGTGGATGGCTGCAGTTGGAATCTCTCGGTGGCCAGCGTCTCCTGGAGCCGCCGTGGAGGCCCGTGGTTCCGTGGCCCCTCCACAGTCCTTCCTGTCTCTAGCCTTTTTCTCGCTTCCTTTGTTTTCTAGGCTGCCGGTGTTAACACCACGGACAAAGAGATTGAGGTTCTCTATATTCGGAATGTAACTTTTGAGGATGCTGGGGAATATACGTGCTTGGCGGGTAATTCTATTGGGATATCCTTTCACTCTGCATGGTTGACAGTTCTGCCAGGTATATACTGCTCTTTCTTTCCGTGGGTTTTCCCCTTTTCTTGGTTGATTGCTATAAAATTAACACAGCTTCTGTTCTCAGAAATGGCCCCTTTTATCCTTGCATAAAGATTGAAAAATATGCAAAATGATCCCCCAGGGATTAAGAAAGTTGCTTTGGAAATTCACTTACAAGGAGATCCCACACTCACATTTATGATCAAGTAAAATTTCACCCTTAAAACCCAAAGGGATCTTATATTTTTTTTAGTGAGTCATGGAGCCAATGTATAAATTAGCCCATCCCCCTTCTCATAAAGAAGACGTAAAAATTACTTTATAACATTCAAAGTAATTTTTTCTCATTGCAAATTCCATCTCATTGAAATCCCATATGTGGTTTTTCTTCCCCCTCTTATGTTTCTAATGAAATGCGAGCAGATGGATGTCCATTGGGGTGCCTGGGGGAAGCACCCTGCAACGTAGGTGTGCAGAAGCAGTGTGTTACCTACCTTGGGAATCGGTGGCTTGTTGCATGTTGCAATAGAATGGACTCTCATTGGCCTTTTCTAGGGAGCATGCTTGTGCCATCTTAGGCTTGATGTTATTTCTGCCCTGCAAAGAAATAAACATCAGTGAAGCCCTGTTGCTAAACGTTGCTGCTAAGTCTAACCAACATCTCTGTTCTAGTCTTGACAAACCCTGTTTTCTTTGTTACATTTGCTGCTATTGTTTCCTTTGTGAAACTGCATAGACTATGGTTTGCTAGCTCATGATGTTCCACTCCAGTTATTAATTCCTCGTTTTTAGAGTACAGTGCCTACCTGCATGCCTGTTTTATTTCTAGTAAAAATAAATCGATCATTTCATTTTGTGCTGTGCTGCTGAGAGTTGACTATCTTTGCAAGTTATTTTTTTTCTGATTAAAATGTAGAAGCTTTAATACCATTGCATCTGTTTTTCCTTTTGTTGTGAATCTGCTCTATGAATATTTGCTTTGAAAAACGATGGGATGCCTCTCCTGTTGAGCTTGCTTTAACTTGCAGTACTGCATTCTGCAGGTGCCTAACTGGCACTTTTTAACCAGTTTGCCTGATAATACTAGCCCATTAACTAAGAATGCAGTTTGGGAAAAAAAAAATACTGTTTGGAAATACACTGCTTGTAAATTGATCACTGAAGACTAAGAAGGGGACGGATAATATTTGATACAAAAAGTTGCTAAATTAATTACATAAGTATGCACATGCAATGCCATTTATATTTTTATGGAAAACTCTTAATGGTTATTATGGAATATTATAAACTTTGTGTATTATGTACATAAAGATTTTCTATCATAATTGTCTTTATAAAGAATGCATTGGTTTAACTGAATAGCATGGGGGACTGTATTAAAGAAATCAAAACATTTGAGGGACAGCCTATTAGCTGAACACTTGTCTGTGTTCATCTGGGAAAAAACAATCTTGTAGGGCTTTGCTGTGGAAGAGCCCACCCCAGTGACATGAAGCACCATCATGTCCTCCTTAGGAACAAAAGAGGCACGTTCATATTCAAGAACTTTGAATTTGGTTTGCCTTCAGAGGCCACTGTGAAAGATGGTCCCTTTGTTGTGGGTGCAGTCAATGATCCAGCTCTGCCCAAATGACCAACAGAATGTGGCTTGTAGCCTGCCCATTGTAACTTGGTGTCAGCCACTCAGTGCTGGCAGACACCCACTAAGACCAGAGATGGTGACTTCCTGGGCCCTGATGGTGGAGTGAGGAACCCACGGTCATTTGTTTGCATCTGGGAGAGCCTCAGGCCAGAGGCACTTGCAACTGGGCCCCTGTCATCCTGCAGCCTTGAGTTACGGGGAAGCCTGTGTTGACTGGAGAATGGCCGTCGCCCTTGATCCCTTTAATTATACTGTGACTCATCACTCCCCTGTCCTAACTCTCTGGCCTGCTTATCTGTTCCTCCCCCTGCGACCTGCCATCTAGCTCCTGTAAGAGAAAAGGAGATCACAGCTTCCCCAGATTACCTGGAGATAGCCATTTACTGCATAGGGGTCTTCCTCATTGCCTGCATGGTGGTGACAGTCATCCTGTGCCGAATGAAGACCACCACCAAGAAGCCAGACTTCAGCAGCCAGCCTGCAGTGCACAAGCTGACCAAGCGCATCCCCCTGCGGAGACAGGTAACAGAAAGTAGATAAAGAGTTTAAAGAACCTTACTCCTCCCCAACCACCCAGCCAGCTCTTGGATCTTTCCCTCTGCTTTGTTGTCCTCTCTTCATTGAGCATCATTGTGTGATACTGCCTGGTGGGCTCAGCATTTGGAGCTTGGAGAGTCACAGTGCTTTGGGGGGTGGTGGTGGTAAATGAGGTCTAGTTCCAAGGTCAAGAAAGGACAGTAATAAGAGAGTCAGGTCCTCAGCAGGACTGGATATAACTCTGGAGGTGTCTCCATCTGTGTGTTTAATGAGACTCCAAGTATAGCTGTCTATTCATCATAGGCCACATTAGTGTCCTCTATCTATTATTTATTTTATTTTGAGGTAGGCATGGATATTGGATGGGACTTATACCACTAGGAGAAAAGAAACTCTAGTCCTCTTTAATTTAAGTCAAGACCTGAACCCTGGGGCTCAGAGATGTACCTGAACTACTTATTTCCAAACTGAATTTTGGCTGAGTTCCTCTGATTCTTTAAAATAGCGTTGAATGCATATATTATATATATTTACTTTTGTTAGTAGGTCACAGGTGTGGCCATGGGCCTGGTGGTAGAATGATTTTTCTATGAAACCGAGAAAAGATTGCTTTTAACCTTAAACCTGGTCTTTGGTGGCTGCTTTTCTTGTATTTGCCTTCTGATTGGTTGATTTTTGGCTTTGGGAGATGGGACGAGATTGTCTTCACTGTGCCCTAAGCCAAGGGTCAGGAAATGCTATGAAGGAACAAGGGGAGGGTATATATGAATGTGAAGTCTTAGGAAAGTATTTGGAACTTGATTCTGATAAAGTGTTTTCCTTTTTTTTTTTTTTTTTAAAGTAGCAAGTGCCACGGCAGCTCACTGGCCTTGCTTCAATGTGAATTTTAGTAGAATTTATGAGGTGTTTGCTAAAATTGCAGATTCCATCATCCCAGCCCTGATTCTTATTCAGTAGATCTTGATCAGAGCCAGGAATCTGCATTTTAAACAAGTTCCCAGGTATTCTTAAAAGTGCTTTGGGAAATTCAGGGTTCAGCTCCCTTCCGGTTGTAGGACTTAGGTATCCATGGCATTTTTTTGGACAAGGCATTGGGAAGGGTTAAGGACCAGTTGATCAGCAACATGGATCTGGCTGTCCTTGGCCAGCTCCAAACTCCTGACTGAATGGGTCCTTGCTAACGTCTTTGGAACCATGTCCCTTGCACAGGTCTGTCTTTGTGGAGGCTGAAGATAGAATGTGGGTGTGTGTTAAGTATGGGCAGATGATCACATTGTGCCAATAACATGGGAGAAAGGGGGCCCATTGGGTCATATCTGCTACCAAGAATGCTGTTGTTATTTTGAGTGACAGCACTGTCATTTGTGAGGCCAGAGAAGCAGTGATGGCCCAGAGCCAGTTGCCTGTCCTGTTTCTGGAAAGTCTAGTCCTGAGATGACCCTCACCTGGCTGGATAGTGCTGTGGCTTCAGGCCACGTGGCCACTTTGCCCCACCCTCCCTCCTCACCAGTCACCTCTGGGCTGCTCTTAAAGCATCCACGCTTGGGATCTGGCACAGGGAGTTGGAAAAAGGGAGTGGTGTTACCACTGCTATTATTTTTCTCTAATAGGGCAGGAGGGGAACCCTCTCATTTGGCATAACTAGGCTCTCATCCTGTAATTATGTCATCTTTTCTTTTTTGGTAACTATTAGGATGAAAGAGGAAGGTGGCCTTAAACTCCCCTGACTTCTCTCCATCATCCGTGTCCACTTAGGGTGGTCATCTTCTCGCTTGCTGTGTAAGCCCTGGGGACAGAGGCCCTCCTTTCTTCCCTCCTTCCCTTCACTCATCCTCCTTCATCTGGTGCTGGGTCCAACCCAGGCTCCACAGGAGGCTTCAAGGTTATTTGAGGCTGTTATTTGAAATGCGATTGCCTTGTGTTGGAGAGGGGCAAGTGGTGCAAGAGAAATGGGAGTGGAGAAACATCTCTGGGAGTTAAGTTTTTGGGGAACGTCGACACACCCCAGTTCTTCATATATGTGAAATGGGGAGCATTATTCATTGTTCACAAAGAGCACCCCTCAGTGAGCCCCGTTGGTGGAGGGGGAGATACCTGTCCCATGTCTAGGTAAAAGAGGGTTATTAGACCATGCTGGAGGGAGAAGCCACACAAAGTCCCCAGGGATGCAAAGTGTGTCTTCACCGGGTGACAAGTGAGCCTGTCTTGGGACCCTTGCCCCAAGGCTCTCAGGAAGTGACTTGCATCCTGCAGTGGCCCAAGCTCCTGTGTGACACAGGTCACACTCAAGTCTTCCTGGCTCCAAGGCCTCTCTCTTGATGTGCTCTGCCAGAGGTTGGTGATTTATCCTGTTGTGAGTTTTCCTTCTTAACGTTTTCTAATTTGCACTGGATTTACTGGGTGCAAGACAGACATTTCATTTATGTTATTTTTTTGGAACAACAGATTTTTCCCCAGTACTAAAGAAGGAGTTTCTTGGTATCATGTTCCAGTAACTATGAATTTTTGAGAATTTTCATGCACCTTGGTGCTTGGGGAAACTCAGGTGGCGTGGGGCAGCCCCCTTGGGTGGGGACTCATACCTCACTCGGGGTCAGGGCTCGGACTCTGTGCTGCCCTGCCCACCTGCTGCTGTTTCCTGAGCACTTGGCGTGTCAGAAGGGACCAGCAGCTGTCCACCCAGACAAGGGCTTCTTGGTGAGCCTGTTGGCTTTCCTGTAGGGTGGCCAGGGGAGAAGCAGCCTGGGCACCTATGAACTGAAGGGAGGGCTTTGATCCCTGCGATGCCCACAAGTCACCTGGGGGTGGCAGTGGGGTGGTGCAGGTACAGGAGGGGACACAGGGGACAAGCAGAGTGTGCTGAGGAGGATTTTCAGTGAGTATGTCAACTCCTTGCTCTGGAGCCAGAAGCACCCATAGGGTGGGATGGAGATTCGAGTGTCCTAGAGTTGGCCCTGTCTGGATGGTCATGTCCTGTGCAGCTCCCACCAGCTCCCACTGCCCCCTGCAGCTCACCAGAGGCTGAGGAGGGGGTGGGAACCAGGTGGGGGTGGGGCGTTTCTTCAGGCTTTAGTTTTGCCCTCTCAGCCAGATACAGGGAGAGTAAAACCAGAGGAAGTATCATGGGTGTCTTTTGTGATGATGTCTTTGAGGCTAGGAGTGGGGCAGAGATGCAGGAGAGGGGTAGGTGACTCTGGAGCCAGTTCTGGGCCAGTGAGACTGGCCTCCGGATCACAGCAAACCGAAGAAGGGGGCTCTGGTTCCGGAGGGCGATTGCTGTTTCCAGAAGGAAGTTGTTCTAGAAGGGAGCTCTGCTTCCGGAAGCTTGCTCACTGGCAGCCAGACCCCACGAATGGCCTCTGCAGGGCGGGCAGTCCAAGGGCCCCGTGAAACCTTGCTGGTTCAGAAAGACTTGGGTGCTGAGCATGGTCGTGGGCCACCTCACTGGGACCTGCCCTTTCTGTGGGCCCCTGGCCTTCCCCTGCCCCTGCTTGGCGGCTCTCTTCTCTCAGCCTCTGAAGGACACGTGGCCTAAGCTCTGACCTCGACTCTAGCTGACAGGACCTTCTAAGTGGAAACAGGCTGCCCGGCCGGGTGCGTCACGGCCTTCACAGGTTGCTCAAGAGACTGGGGGCGGCGGAGGCTCGTTAAGGGAGAAACTCGGCGTCGGATAAACTTCCTCACCTCATTACCCAAGTTTGGCTGTAGAGGGGAAAAACCCAACCTAGAAGCCCCTGCAAGCTTTATGCAGACCCCCCGGTTTGACCCGGTGACAACGTTTCTGTGTCTGTAGGCCACGTGGGCGAGACTTGGGGCCAGAGAGCTGTCCTCAGGCCTGGCCTGGTTTGGGAAGCTGCCGCAGCCTCGGGGTGGGCAGGCTCCTGGGCAGGCTGCGGCCCAGGGCTGGAGTCCTCAACACAGAGAGCGCCCTCCTGCCCGCCGTCCTCCCCGGGAGGTCCCCCTAGGTGTTCAGCTTTATCTCGTATGAAGAGACGACACTTTCGTGGTGGCCCCTTAGAAAGCCAACCCCACCTTCTCGCTTACTCTCCCGTCTGTCCTGTGGAAATGTACGAAGAGCCCATTTAGTGAAAAGCTCGATTTACGGCACATGGTAAAGGGACATTCCGGAAAGCAAGGAAGCTGAATTGGAGACTGTGGAAATCCATGTTTAAAAAAAGGCCTTCCGAGGTTAGGGTGGGAGAGCCGCTCGCCAGCGTTAGCGTTTACTGTTTACAAGTGACTTCTCACCAACAATGGGGGGGTGTTTTTTTTTTTTTTTTTTAATTGGAAAGAAAACTTCAGACTTGAAGTTTTTAAGTAGGAAGTGAAGAATATGTAACAGGGGAAATTATGATTTCATGGAAAAAGGGAAGGAAAAAGTGATCATCTAATAGTGCTGAGGAAGAAGGGCTTCCGTGGGGGCCCAGGGCCTCGATCCCAAGGACAGCAGTGGCCCTTGGGGACCTGCCTGCGGGGTTGCGACAAGCCCTCCTAACAGGTTCCCTTCCAGAGGAAGGGAGTGAGGGGAAGCCGTGGAGCTTTACAGTCCCCGCGGGGGTTTTAAAAGCACACTAAAAATGCCTGGAGGTAAAACTAAGAGGTGCCTTGGGTGGGACCACAGGCCCAGGCCTTTTTATACTGGGGCATTTTCTTACCCTTTTCCGCTTTGTGTTTTTATAACCAAAGTATTTTCCAGATTTGTACATTTAATCTGAATCTCTACCCTTCGTCTCAACAAAGTAAACACAGTGTTGTATTTTAATATCGGTGAGAACCACACTGTGTCAAGGTTTCCATTTCTATTATTTATTTGAGCCTTTCTGTTTTGTTTTGGGTTGGGGATTGAACCCGGGGGCACTTAACAACTGAGCAGTGGCCCACCCCCCACCTTTTTTTTTTTTTTTTTTTTTAAATTTTGAGGCAGGAACTCGCTAAGTTGCTTAGAGCTTTGCTAAATTGCCGAGGCTGGCTTGGAACCTGCGATCCTCCTGCCTCAGCCTCCTGGGCTGCTGGGATGAGAGGTGTGCACCACCGTGCCTGGCTAGCTTTTCCATCTTAACAGCGTCCACATTACAGGCTTATGGAGATGCTGTGTTTGGGGGAAGGAACACATGTATATGAACTTATGCCACAGTTGGGGGATGCAGGCTCCCTTGGGGTCAGAGGTTTGCTGTGGAGCAGTGTCAGACTGAGTGTTAGAGTTCTCCGTCCTGTTTGTCCCTGGGACTGTGTTACCCTGTGTCTCCCTCCCGCCCTGGATGCTCCCCGACTCCTGGATTCTTCATTTCTCGTTTGCTGGAGCCCCATCCCACCTGGCTGGGAGCAGAGGCCTTGTGTGACCCAACTCAGATGTGCCCATTAGGTCATATCCTGTTCTGCAGGCAGCCCTCCTGTCACCTGGCTGTCTTCCTGGTTGTGCAGTTAATGACCTCTAACAACCCGAGGCTCCGGGTGGTCCACAGAGAGGTGCCATCTGTACTCACCAGGGTCTGGATACAACTGATGTTCAAGGCGCTGAGGGAAAATGCTGTGGGTTGGGGGCAAATATCACTGAGCTCGTGCTGAGGGCCTGAGCTCACCCTCGCCTCCTGGTCACTGTGAGGTGGAGCTGGGCTGCCTCCTGAGTAACGGAGGGGAACTCGGGCCTGGAGGGGTGCGTGGCTTCCCGAAGCTCACAGGGCTAATGCTGTTGGACCTGCAGTATGGACCCTCGGTATTGGGGGATGTGGCCTGGACAGTCCATGGGGTACCCACATTGGAGTGCACACAGTGTCATGACAAGGACCTTGCAGCAGAAGAGAGCCACAGAAGCGTCAATCTTGCCATTTCTCCTTGTTAGAGATGGTGTATGCTCTGTTTGTTAAAGAAAAAGTGTTGTTTCTAAAACATAGAAGAAATATGCATACATGACAATAAAACCCAAATGGTCTAGAAAATTCTGAAGTAAGGCCTATTTCTACCCTCTCCCTGCTCCTGGTCTCTCCCCCAAGGGTGACTAAGTCTCTTAGATCCACCCCCCCAGAGCCGTTTTGAATGCCTGTGTGCTCACCCTCACTGGGGGAAGGCTGCTCTCCCCACATCCTATCCCCTGAGCCTCCCTCAGGAGAGGGGTAAGTTTTGGGGACAAGGCGTAGAAGCTGCATGTGCTTTCTGGATGTTGACGTCATCGGCCCTCAGCTGCCAGTGATTTCCCAATCACTTTCCCGTCTTCCATCGATCGCAGCACAGGGTGCACCCCAACAGTGCAGTTCTGGGAACTCTGGAGTGCCCTGGTGAGGGTCTACGCTGGTGGTCCTGCAGAGCGTCCTGGCTGCAGAATCCGCTGGAACCTGGCCACCGGGAGCCTGTGTTGTCTCATTGCTAGGCCGACTTTTACTAGTTTGGCTGGGACTTCTTGCCTGTGATCTTCCAGCCCAAGTGTCCGCTTCAGCAAGTGGTGATTTTTGCTGGTTCATGCGGAGGAACTTTCCAGAAGATCTTTTTAATTTTTGAAAACACCGGGGGCCTTTTGTACCTTTGGCAGGCACAGCACGCAGCCAGGATACAGAGTGAATCAAGTTTAGAAGGAAAGATGTGAGAAGCATCCTTGGCCAATCCCATTCCCGAATCTTCCCGAGCCCCTTCTCTGTGGAGAAGGATGTTTGTGTGGTCAGTGGAAACTGGAAACTTGAGAATCTCTGAAAGTGCCTGCTGTTTGATGTGTCCTGCACAAGGGGTCAGCCCACCAGAGCCAGGTTGGATTCCACGTGAACTGTGGCGGGGCTTGGAAGTCATTGCCTGCTGTGTCCAGGGAAGGGCCCCTGCCTGGACTGTGACCTTAATGGGCAGTGCGAGTAGGTTTTACAGGAGCCCATACTTACCGTTTCATCTTTTCCTGCCTGTTCTGCCATTTGCCTTTGCATCTTGGATGCTTGGGTGTGGGTCTTTCACCTACAAAATTTGAGTTTTGATATGGCACAATCAGTAAACCATTACTTGTCATTCCTGCATGGTAAACTTGATCAACAGCTCCCCCTGCCCAAAAGACAGTTCAGGAGGCTCAGAAATGTACTCATATACATTTTGTTTTTATGTTTTTCACATGCATTTAAAAAGAGAATTGAAATTCTATGTGAAGCATTGGCCAGCTTCTTGATTTTTATACTGAAAACAGTTTGATTTCTCAACTACCCTCCCCCCCATCCATTCTTCAGCATCTTCTTGAGTTTCTAGCCTGACTTAAGGGTAGTCTGGGTTTAAAAAGAGAGAAACAATGCTTCCTGAGTGGGTGAGAGCAGGGAGTACAAGTCCTCTGGTTCCCCGTGAGAAGAGTCCAAGATCTACCATGGAAAAGTCCCTCCCAGCCAACCTCATCGGTTCATCTGGGCTTGGTTGTTACCCGCTCGACCGACAAGGTATCTGTCCCTGTAGCTGGGCATTCTGTCAGCCCTCGCAAGATAAGAAGCCAGGGGCTTGGTGGGCTGCTTGGGTGGCTCATGTTTAGCCTCACATTCTGACTTTTGGGCCAAAGTCTAGTTCCTAGTATAGAGTAAGGGCGTCTGCTAGCAGCCCGTGACCATCTGAGATTGTGTAGTCACACCCAGAGGTGGCCTTCAGGTGGGCTCTGCGTGGGTCTTCCTTTACAGATACCAGCCAGGGGAGATGACGGACTTAGGAAATAATCACCTTATCAGGCACAGAAGGAAATGGATCTGGGTGCCTGAGCAAAGAACCCCACCTGCTCCCAGGTGACCGAACGAAGGTGTCTCTCCCTGGATGCTCTGCCTCGCCTGTGCACTGGTTTCTGAAGCTGAAGCGGACCAGAGGCAGCTCATTCTCATCGGACGGCTTGGGGATCAGCAAGTTTCTAAAGGACTGGGGAGACTGCCTGGGCCCAGTGCCTGGGTCTTGGCTGACCTTGAACAGAGGCAGTCGGAGCTACTGGAACATCTGGTCCTAGAGCTCTTTCTTTGAGATGTTCTGCTTTACATTCCCAGACGTGGAGGAAATATGGAAAAGTTTGTTTCCTACAAGTTTTGGAGAAAGTTCATGAGCCCAGCATTGGTCAATGAAGAGCAGAAAGAGGAGTTGGATTACTGGGGGCTCAGGTACAGGTGTGGGTGCAGGCAGAGAGGCTAGGACGAGCCACTGAGGTCTGCCTGCTTGGAGCAGTGGTCTTAATTAGGATAGAAAGGAGACAATAGTTCAATCAGACTTAGGTAAAAATTTTGTTTTGAAACCCGATCCAAGTGCTGCGTCGACGGGGGACAAAGGAATCAGAGTCCAGTGGCTTTCATTTTAGTTCATGGCTTTAGTTCCCAGACCCCACCTGCTTTCTTTCTAAGAATTGATACTCTGGCTGGGTTCCGGCTGCCTTCCCGCCTTTCCAGGTGGAGCCAGGATTACATCTGTCTTTGCATTTTGTATCCAGGTTTCCGCAGAGTCCAGCTCCTCCATGAACTCCAATACCCCGCTGGTGAGGATAACGACTCGTCTGTCCTCGGCCGCTGACACCCCGATGCTGGCAGGGGTCTCGGAGTACGAGCTGCCAGAGGACCCAAAATGGGAGTTCCCCAGAGATAAGTGAGTATTTCTGCCACGCACATCCCTGAATGGAAACTTGGATGGAAATGGGAATCCTGGATGGTGGACACTGTCATTCTAGGTCTTGACGGCAAAGGTCTTGCTCTGATGGTGTCAATAGGAGTGAGATTAACTTTCCAGACAACAACTCCTAGAAAAGATTAAAATTTTTTTTTTAATTTTTTTATTTTTAAAAATAGCTTATTTAAATCAGAGCTACAAAGTTCTGGCTTTTTCCCCAAATAAGATGGCCTCTGGTTATCATTTTTTAAATTTCTGGACAATTCAAAACCAGTCAAATGGAATAAAAGCAGAATGATCCAATCTGTGAAACAGATCTGACAGTCCACCTTCTGGTTACTGGAAAATGATTGTTCTCGGGTTTATTTGTTTGGAGAAATTAGAGTGTAAATCACCTTTAGGATCTTTACCCATTGCTGCTGTTTTCAATGCTTATTAATGTGATTTTGGGCTGAAAAGCTTCAGATATGGTACCTAATGTTTGACTTCTATGGTGTATAGTATTGTCTTCCCAGGGTGGTATACAGGTGTTGCCATAGTGAAAGGTGGCCATTTGGGCTTTGTTGAAGGCATTGCTGGGAGCTGTGTGTCTCTGGGTCTCACTTGAGCAAGTCCATGTACTTTGGACTCTGTTGGGCTGAATTTGAACCCTGACTCTGCCAGTCAGTTCCTATAAAATGAGGGTCATGGTGCACAGCTCCCAGGACTGAGCGCAGTTCTTGGCTATGGGAGTCCCTTTCATTTCCACTCATGTCTTGGCGACCTTGAAAACCCTTAGCAGATGGTTGTGCCAGTCACAGAGCCAGTGGGGCAGACCATCGGCTGCTAGTAGAGACATCCCCACCCCCCACCAGCCCCACCTTCTGAAGGGGAGCTCCCGAGGACTGGCTGCTCACTCTGGGGTACTTGTGCTAACTGGAGTCCCAACAGCTCTAGAGTGGTGAAAGGTGCCATGCTGATTCTCTTTCTGTACCAGATAAATTGGAAAGAGCTCTTAACCTGCTTATGAACAATTACCCCATTTGTCTCCCTAAGATTATGTTAGAGATGCACTTCTCTTATATACATGTACAAATTTGGAAACACAAAGACCAGCTTTTCTGGAGATCCTGTGACGAGTTCTCTTTGGAAGGGAGAGGAAGTTGATGCGTCACTGGTGATTTTGACTTATACAATTTCACATTGCTTACCTTCTCCAACAGCCAATATAGAGCTACGAATGCATATCATAAGCTAGAACCAAGTAATTGTCCAGGTATTATTCAATTAGCGTATTAATGGAAGTAATTTCCAGTTTCTGTATACTGTGGGGAAAACACCGTTCATCAAGGCCTGGCTGTCGGACGTGCACTGGTGAGGCACAGGGGAAACACAAAGAACGGTTTCTTTACCTGCAGAGTATGGAGAGGGGAGAGGGTGTTTCTCTTGAACCCTGCCAGCCCCTGGCTGTGTGTGATTATATAAATAAGCTAGTTCTCTCACACATTCCTCTGTGTATAGCACTGAGCTGGGGAGTTGTGCTCATGGGTAAGGAACTTTGCAGCCTCAGGTTAGGTCTGTAGCTTTTGCCACCTGTGACACCGTGGTCAACAGTAGGAGTCTGTACTGCACTGTTAGCTCCCACCCGGGGGTCCTCCAAGTATGGAAAATCTGAGTACTGTGCATTTCCAAACAGTGTTTAGCCCAAATGTAGGTGGAGCTGATTTCCAATGAATGAAGGCTATTTAGAAGCAGTTTATTAGATCGGAGGCAGAATTTATACAAAGAGAGGATTGTTATGCTTGTAGTAGCAGGGTAGTAGGACATAAATTAGCCATTTTTCCAATGCAAATGTTTATTTTCTGCCAAGATGTTAAATTTAATTTTAGCTCTGAATGGAAACAGGATGACCTCAGCATAGCCTATGCTGCCCTCAGGTTTTTTTTGTTTTGTTTTTTGGTGGTTTTTTTTCTTTTTTCTTTTTTTTTTGCTGAACTTTTGCAAACCATTGTGTACTTACTTACCGTAAATATCGTTTACTAATGGCAGCTCAATATTTTGCTGTTAGGCTTAAGAAACCACATTCAGAAGCATTCCAAAGACTGCATTTTGCTAGTTTCTGGAATGTCCAAGGGTGATATGTGGCCCTTTGTGAAATGGGCACAGAGTTTCTGGACTTAAAAATGTGACTTGTGAGGCTCACTTTGCAGTTTCTTCCTTTGCACATAGTTGACCTAGAGGTGAGGCGTTTTCAGGATTAATTTCAGGTAGTCATAAGGATCTCTATCTAGACTTATGTCAAAAAAGGATGCTCCCCATTTTCTAGAATTTCTTCTTCCTATAGTGAGAAATTAAAGATTCCTTGAAACACATTTAAGATACAGATCCTATAACTTGGCAAGGAATGTGACCATAAAATCCACTGGTATTTGAATAATAGTGATTTTTTTTTTTTTTAAAGCTGCCACTTTACAGGGACAAAAAAAAAAAAAAATAAGAACAACCTGAACATTTTTCTTTGGGACATTCTTAATTACAAATGTTTAATTGGCTCAAGATCTGAAGCACCTCGTTGTTGGCCCTTGGTGGTAGGGGAGAGGGGCACTGACCAGCTCCCTAGCAAGGGGGCCTTCCTTTCATAAAGAAAAGAAATCGAGAATACAAATGTGAAACCGAATAGCTGTTCCACCAGTAATTGACGTTCTCTGAAACGTCACTAAGAAAATACCCCAGCGCGTGTGTACCCTAAGTCTCATTAGTTCCATATGATAAATGCGCCATGCTTTTGCAAGCTGCTGAAAGATTGTTATATTTAGTTCTGGCCTCTCCCTCGCGGCGCCCCTCCACCAGATGCCGTGTGCTAATCCCCTGTTTACACATTTAGGCTGACGCTGGGCAAACCCCTGGGGGAAGGTTGCTTTGGGCAAGTGGTCATGGCGGAAGCGGTGGGCATCGACAAAGACAAGCCCAAGGAGGCGGTCACCGTGGCAGTGAAGATGCTGAAAGGTGAGTGGGAAGGCGGCGGGGGCGGGGCGCAGAGGGTCTTATCAAGAATGCCCCTTTTGTGGCATGTGAACTCTGTCATGGCAGGGGTCAGAGGGCACATAGTTGACCTAGAGGTTGAGGAGTTTTCAAGATAAATCAGCGTCCTGGACAGACTATTTATCTTGAGCCATGTGTACTTACCAAGAAAGAAAAGCCCCCTCTGTTCGCAAGTGGTGGCCGTCCAGGTTGAGTTGTCCTGGGGCTTCCTGCAGGTGACTGTGGCTCTTCACCTGCTCTGTGTTTTTATGGGCTTAGAAAGTATCCACTCCTGGTCGGTGGATTTAGGTGGGGGTTGGCCCACTGGCTTCAGGACTCAAACTCGAGCTCACAAACAGAGAGACTGACATTGTAAGAGGAAACTAGAGGCTCGGGGAGTAGGACACCTTCTTTCTTTGCGAGGAGAGGAGCAGAAATGACTCCCGTTGGGGGAAGTCACTTAGAAGCTACAAAGGATCTAACAGAATCGGGGTTGGTGCAGAGACCTGGGTCGTGGGGACAGCAGCCGAGACATAAGCGCCCAGTTGCTGTCACTCCTGGGAATCTGAAGCGTGCACCAACCCTCTGAGCCGCTCCACGGGGGCTGGAAGAACTTTTAACCATTAACTTATGCTCCTGAGCTGGTCTTTTATGAGAAGGGTAATAGGGAACGGTCACATTATAAATCCTATTGTAGAGATGTTGGAAAGGAGGTCCAAAGCCAGGTGTTTCTGTGGTTTCCAAGCGGAGAGGTCTGTCCTTGGGCTGCAGGATTTGCTGTTCTTGCTGGAGGTTTTTTTAAGATGGGAACTGGAGCCACTTTGAGTAGCCAATGGGAGCCACGGCCATTGGCCCGCCCAGGATGCTGCACACAGTTTACACACACAGTTGTGGGGAGCCTCCTGAGCCAACTTTGGGTGTTCCAAGGGCCACTGGGGTTGCGTTAGGAATTCTTGCTCTGGAGAAAATCTGTAGTGATTCTAAGATTCCTTATGTATGACAGAGGAGGGGATGGCTCACCGTAGAGAGAACACTCTCATGTCTGCGATGTTTGCTTCAGAAGACTTGGGCTTAGGGTCACATGCCTTGTTTTAATCCCGACTGTTTGCTAGTGACCCTCGAAGAACCCTTTGACTCTGAACAGGGCACTCCTGTCTGGGCCTTTGTTCCTTTGCTGATAAAATGAGGGAGATGATTGGGGAAGTCTTTCCTGGTTCTGTGATTCAGTTTCAACCAAGAGTTTGGCCACTAACCGTGACAGCCCTCAAATCAGAGGAAATGTCTGATTGGTGGTCACCTACTATTCATAGATGATGCCACGGAAAAGGACCTTTCTGATCTGGTGTCAGAGATGGAGATGATGAAGATGATTGGAAAACACAAAAATATCATCAACCTTCTTGGAGCTTGCACACAGGACGGTGAGTAGGGGGAAAATGATTCCAGATGAGAGTTGACGTCTTTCTAGCAGTTGAGCTTCTGAATCCTGCTCCTGGGGTGCCTCATGTGCATGTTTATAGTTTTCCTTAAAACACCCTTTGTAAGATGTTCCCAGGCAGGGACACAAAGGGGGCACTGTGCCTGGGGACTGGGGACAGGCGGGTGTCAGGTCCTGCTGTCTCTAGGTCATGATCTGTAGGGCCATTTTGGAAAGGGCAGTCTCCTTATGTTTTTGTAAGTGTGAACATGAGACCCTGTGTTTGGTTGAGAAGTTCTTCCCTTGGGTGAGAGTTGAGGAGCCCCATCCTGCTGTCAGCTACAGATAGTGGGCTCTGAAGGAAAGAGGAGAGCAGTATGAAGGGGTGCCTCTTCCTCCTCGGAGGGATTCCCTGGCTGCTGCTGCTGAACATCTGCTGGCGCTTTGGGGACCAATTTGACAACAACCGATAAACTTGAAAATGCACATTTGTCTTGATAATTTTCCTTTAGGTCGACATTGGCAACTTATTTCCATGAGGTCAGTTGGAGATATTTTAGAGTCTTGTGGACCTTGTGGTCTCTGTGGAAACCACATGTCACTGCCATTGTCCTGGGGGAGCAGCCGTAGTGCAGAAATGCATGGACCTGGTTGTGTGTCAGTGAAAGTCAGTGACCCAGGCAGGCAGTGGGCAAGCTTTGGCCTGCAGGCTCTGGTTTGCTGACCTTCCAGTCTGTGCCATGGAGAAGTATGGCAATGTGTAGGAGGAGACACACAGCCATGTTCCTTGCACACTCAGTTATGGTGGATACAGCAACCTAAATGCCCACCAGTACAGAGAAGCAGAGGAAGGGTGGTATGGGAGATGGAACAGTGTGCTGTGCTGCTGTGGAAAGGAGGGATCAGCTTGGGCGGACGAGAATGACGTATGGGTGACATGTAGCCTCCCCAAGAGAATGTATCAGTGAACATGTAGCAAAGTTCTCTTTATTGCTCCTTTCTGTGACTAAAAATAATACATACATTTTATCAATTCTAGATGTACGTAGAGTAGCTAAGATGAATCGGAAGTAAATAGTAGAGGGAGCAGATTTATGAGAGCCACTCCGCTCCAGGATAGGGAGGGCACCGCCTCTCTGCTTCATTTCTTGAAGGCTTTGGAAGATGTCACCACCCAGTGTCACCACCCTATGTTGATTCTCATTTGAAAAGATCAGGACACAAGTGTTCTATTTTCATGTGTGCTTTTCTGCATGTAAAAACTTAAAAAACAAACAAGCAAAAAATAAAACCACCCATGCTTGGCCGTGTGGCTCAGTGGTAGAGTCCTTACCCAGCACCTGGGTCTCCATCCTTAGCACTGCAGAAGCCACAGACGGCAACATGGCGGTGCCAGGTTGGGTACAGTAACGAGAGGCCCTTTGCTGAGTGGCCCCAGGGCAGATCCTGGCCCGCTGCCTCAGGAAGCGTGTCCTCTCTGTCAACAGGGCCACTCTATGTCATAGTGGAGTACGCTTCGAAAGGCAACCTCCGGGAGTACCTCCGAGCCCGCAGGCCGCCCGGCATGGAGTACTCCTATGACATCAACCGAGTGCCCGAAGAGCAGATGACCTTCAAGGACCTGGTGTCCTGCACCTACCAGCTGGCCAGAGGCATGGAGTACTTGGCTTCCCAAAAAGTGAGTCCTTCCCATTCCTCTCGGCCGGGGGAATGCCAATTAAAAGTGCCTTTGAAGGCGCTGGGCTGTGGGCTGTGCTCATTCTCTAGATCATGCCCTCGCATGTCTCGTGCAGGCTGGAAAGTATTTATGGCCTGATGCACATTCGAGTTGAACGAACCCTAAAGAGCAAAGCAGCCTCATAAACTCGTGGGGACGCTGCAGAGAGGAGCAGGAAAGACGTCTCTTCTCTGAGATGGGGCTGGGTTTGGTGCTCTTGGGAATTCAGTGCCCCCGGTGGAAGTGGAGGGTGACTGGCCCAGGAGCGTTCCCTGTCATCCTGATGTGGGACTTTTTGTTTTATTTTGTTTGGGCTTCATTTGTTTTGTAGTTACTGAGTGTGAGGACATGGACTTTGGGTGAGGTGTTTAGGATTTTGAGTTTGATGTGGCCTTAAGTATGCTAAGAAGAGGGATCAAGTGAAAGGGTATTTTAGTAACACAGAATCCTGGACATCTGAGTTCATTTTGGCTTCTTTGGTGAGTGACCCTCTGTGGTCAGAAGTTGGCCAGGTCCCCCGAGGTAAATCGCTGGCATTCCAAGCATGCCACTTTCAAAGGAACTTGAAACATGTGAGTTATTCTGGAAGCAGTTAAGCAGGTACCCAGATGTGCTCGGGGGCATTTCAGGGGACCTCAGACACCCTTCCTCAGTCCACATTCAGGGAGGGGTGCAGAGACCCCCTCCTCAGGCAACGAGCTCCACTCCTCTCTGCTGGGAAATATGATGTAGCATCAGGAACTTCCTGGGAACCCAGAAAGCTGAGGTCTGATGGGTGTGGACCTCTGTCACCTGGGGGGGCCTGGGCTGCTTGGATGGTCACAAACCTGGATCCCCACAGGGCCTTGTGAGTCTGATGCGTGAAGTGGACGGGAGGGGCAGCCGTGCTGCAGCCCTGGTCTCCGCCCTGGGTCCTGTGGGTTCTGTCTTTGTTTTATTGACATTGTTTTGATTTTTAAAAAATATTTTAAGTTAATATTCCAGAGAGTTCAGAGCTCAAAACTTTTCCAGATTTCTCCCTATAAAATCTCTTAGTATATAGGTTTTGGGAAACTAACTGAAACAGTTTTGAGTCCTGTGATTTTGCATGTGCATGTAAGCAGGGGAGTTTGCCAACCAGAACATCTTGGGCATCTGGAAACAGGTCCGGGATGCTGGCATTTGACAAGACATGGCTTCAAAGTGTCAATGTCACAAGAGACAAAAAGTGCCAGGGAGATCATTCCAGAGTAAAGGAGGCTAAAGAGATGGCAGCCAGGTGTGAGAGTGGACTTGGGCGGGTTCCTTTGGGGGTGGGAGGTGGGGCCAGCTTTTACAAAAGACATTGTGCACAATTAAACTTGAGCTCGGCCTGTGTCTTAGGTAATGTTACTGTGTCAAAGCTGAATTTGGGGCAACAGTGCGACTGTGTTAAGGTGGGAGACACAGGTCAAGTGGCTCGTGTCCAAAATAAGTGTTTGAGACTCTGGATGTTTTCCAGAGTTTAGAATATTTCCATACACCTTTGAAGGAAAGACCCAAATCTAAACACAAAATGCACATGAGAGCCTGAAGGTATCATTATACAACATTTTTATTAATTTTGTGCATAAGCCCAAGTTTTATAGTATGGAATTTTTCACCTGTGTCATGTCAATACTCAAAATGCTTTGGATTTTAGATTTCCGAATTAGGTATGTTCACCCTGTAAATGCTGAAGAATTTAGATGTGAAGCATTAGTGACACAACTTTTAAAGAGCTGAGCGGTAAAGTAAGAGAGTGTGTGTGTGTGTGTGTGTGTGTGTGTGTGTGTGTGTGTGCGTGCACGTGCTGAATACAAAGAGAGAAGGCAAGCAGGTAAGAATAGTAAGCAAGTTTGGTGACCCTGGTTATCCATTGCACTATTTCACCTTTTCTGAAATATTTGCAGTATTTCAGATAGAACTCTGGGGGCACAGTCTAGCTGGAGGCAGCCTGGTCACTCATGGGCCTGGTCTCTCCCAGCTGTCCCTAGGTGGGAGATGGGAGAGGCACAGGGCGCTACTGCTCATACAAAATGGTGGGAGGACTGGCCTCAGCATTTTATGCAGTCCTTCAACTCAGCAGGGTTCCCTGGAAGCCTCAAGCCCTAGTCGGAATGGACAAAGCCCTAGTCAGAATGGATGTAGCCCTTGACCTCTTGCAGCGGGACCCATGAGTGATTTCCAATTAACGTGAAAATAAAAATTAGTATGTAAACAACAACAACAAAAACCCTGAATGCAAACGGTGTGATAAGGCCCCATTCGTTCAGGGCCTTAGGGCCCCATGCAAGGGGCCAGAAACCATTAAGGGAGAGTAACAGGGTCAGGAGTGTGCTTTACAGATGGCTCTTCCTGTTGCCTGCATGGCAGATGGAAAACACCAAGTCCTGTGGAAGGTGCCAGTAGGTGTGGGCCAGGGCTTAGTGGGGCCCAAGACACTGGCCGAAGTTGCTAGTGTGATTTCAGACTTAATTTTGCTGTGAGGATAGTTAGTGACTTGATTAGGTCCCGGGAGAGGACTAGCCAAGGATGGCTTCTGATTTCCAGCTTGAGAAACTGGACGTGATCCAGCTTTCCAAGGTGAAGAAGACTTGGGAATTGGGAGGCAGGGCAGGGATGGGTTTTGGTGGAAAACCCAGAACTCAGGTATCCCAGAGCCATTCAAAGGGAGGTGTCCAACATGCCACAGATGCAGACTCATGGACTGGGCAGGCAACTGGAAGGATGCGAAGGAAGGTGGTCTCAAGCTGTGATAGCGAATCAGTTACCTAGAGGGAAACCTAGAAGAGGAAGACGAGAGTGGGACCCTGGGAAAACTCAAATCCCAAGATTGGTGAAAAGCCCAGGAGGCCGTGGAGGCTGAGCAGGCCCTGACCGAGATTCAAGGGGGAAGCAGAGGCCCCAAAGGAGGGCTTCAGGAAGGGGGAGAGGTGGACTGTGAACCGTCTTGTCGAGTATGGACACCCCTTACCCCAAGGAGTTAGGACCCTCTGGGTTAAACAGAAAGCTTGGAATCAGTGCTCAGAAGGAGGAGAGAAGCACCCGTGTTGAGTGTGGCAGCAAAGCCAGTGGCAGCCTCACACCACCTAACCTGTGCACCCCGAGCCCTTCTTGGTTTGGAGTTGTTAGTAGAGGGAAGAGAACTAGGAGTCAAAGGAACTTTGCAAAATGTGCAAACATTTTAAAACGCGTGAGAACATTTTAGGACGACAGTGGGAGGGTGGATGCCTCATAGATGGGGTTGGGATGGCCGTGGCTGCTGTTGTGACTCATCAGTGACGACCTTTTGAGAGCCCACGGTGTCAAGCACCTGGCTTACAGGATCCTACATAACGAAGCCTTGGAACAATTTGCGATTGGTGGGACTAAGATCCCAGTTTTAAAAGTAAGGGTGCTGAGGACTGTTGGAAAGTGACAGGAAGGAAGGCTCTGATCCCAAGCATGGCAGAATCGCTGTCCTTTCTTATGGAGTGAGGCCTGTAGGCCCCCAGGGTAACGTGGCTGGTCCTGGAGCTAAGTCTTCTGGTCCTCTACCCAGCCGGGCCCGGCTCTCAGGCAGTCTCTACCTCTCTCTGGACTCAAGCAGGACCAAGGAGAGTCCCTGTTCTGGGGCTTTAGTTAGTAACCTGGTGAGCTCACTCCTTGATTTTTCAGAAGAATCCAGAGTCAAAGGGACAGTAGTGTTTCCTTGGGGCATTGCATGGGTCCAAAGTCCCTGGCCCAGGGCTGCCTGAAGTTAAAGACATTGGAATAGATGGGAAGGGTGGGAGGTGAAGATGTTAAGAATGTTCCCCTTGGGTAGGAAAGATGGTGGAATGAGATGGACGTCATTACCCTAGGTACATGTATGATTGCACAAATGATGCGACTCTACACTATGTACAACCAGAGAATTGAAATGTTGTGCTCCATTTGTGTACGTCGGATTGAAATGCATTCCACTGTCATGTACAACTAAGTAGAACAAATTTTAAAAAATAAATATATTAAAAAAAAGAATGTTCCCCTTAGGAATCGCCTGCTTCCAGACCCAGAAGGTTCATTCCTGACAGTCGAGAATGAGGAAGTAGGGGAAGGGTCATATCCTGCCTACCTACCCACAGCCTCCCACTCACAGCCAAGAGATGGCCTTGTTAGAGACCCACTCCCTGGAAGGAGGGGTGGAGGGCAGCTCAGCAGACCATTCCCTGGCCAGGCTCTGTGCTCGGTGCTGGGAATACTGAGGTCA